TAAGAGAAAGGATTGCAGGTGCTGAAGCTAAACAACAACGACGAGCGGTGGACTTGGAATACAGGGAAAGAGAAACGATTGCAAGTGCTGAAGCAATGCGACAGCGCCGAGAGACGGACATTGAATACCAACAAATGGAAAGAATTGCAGATGCCGAAGCAATGCGAGAACGTCGACAAACGGATATTGAATACCAAGAAATGGAAAGAATTGCAGATGCCGAAGCAAAGCGACAACGTCGACAGACGGACATTGAATACCAACAATTGGAAAGGATTGCAAATGCCGAAGCAATGCAGCAACGTCGACAGACGGACTATCGAGAATCGGAAAGGCTTTCAGACGCCGAGGCAAGGCAGCAGCGACGGGCGGCAGACCCTGAATTCCGAGAAAGAGAGAGAGGTGCAAATGCTGAGGCAATGCGACAACGCCGGCAGACGAGCCTGGAGTATAGTCAAAATGAAAGGAAAATGAACTCAGAATCGATGAGAGTGCGCAGGGAAGAAAATGTCGAATACAGACAACGAGAAAGGGAAGCTAACAGTGAAGCAATGCGGATTCGCAGATCTACTAATGAAACGGAGAGGGAGCGTCAAGAGAATGCGTTGAGAATGCAGCTTTGTCGAAGTACCGGAAAGATACATGAGCAGGAAGGCATTAAGGATCGGGAAGCGAAGCAGCAAAAAAGAACCTTCACTTACACATCGGGTGTTGAAGCATATGAAAATGCAGTTAAGGAAGGGCCAACGTACACGTGCAACTGCTGCGGCAGATTAGAATTCCGACGCTCTGTTTCTATACTCAAAATGTCACATCTGCAGCAAGCTAGCAGTGCAAATAAAGTCCCAAGAAATCTTATAAGAAATGTATTTTATCTACAGCAAGTTGAAGAATGCTTCTTCTGCAAAACGTGCGTACAGAGCATTAAATGCTGGAAGCAACCTCGTTACTGTCTTTCAAACGAGTTGCACTTTCCCATCGTGGACCGCAGACTGCAGATTTTGGGAAGGCAAGAAGAACGGCTTGTAGCTGCATGTCATATTTTCCAGACAATCTAGCCATCACACGGCCCCTCTGGGCAGTTCCGATGCAAGGGAGGAATTGTTAATGTCCCAGTTTCCGTCGACACGACAGTGTCCCTCCTTCCTCGTCTTCCCACTGATGCGTATGTCGTGCATGTTTGTATTGCACGACGAATGCAGTACAAAGGCAACTATATTATTGACAACGTCAGACCAAACTGCGTCTGGCAAGCTGCTGTGCACCTTACCGCTCAACCACTTTATCAGCCCCACAGC